AAAAAAAAAACATGATAATAAGAATCAGCGTTATCAAAATAAGAATAATCATCGCTTAAATAATAATAATGATCAGCAGCAGCATAATAAGCATCAAAATAAAAAAACAACATGATAATAAGAATCAGCATAATCTGAATAAGAATAATCATCACTTAAATAATAATAATGATCAGCAGCAGCAGCATAATAAGCATCAGAATCAATCATCAGTTTCATATTTTACCCAACAAACTACCAAAAATTGCCCCATTCCAACACCATAAATTTGTATGGACTTGGGAAAATTTTAGTGCCGGCCAATTTAAAAACGGCCGGAATGAGTTTTAAGAAATATACCGCAGAGGACAATCATATAAATTCTAAATTCGACAAACAGCCGAATCAGCTGATTCAGGGCCTAAAATATACATCAGATTTCAGGGGACACACTTTTTAATTCGGTCGATAGAGTTAATAGATTTTCATAGCCAAAAAAAAAAAAAAAACCTATGGCAGGACGTAGCTCATTAAACAATAATGTCACTACATAACTTATACATTAATAATATTTATACCTTAATAAGTGTATACTAAAAATTATCGACACAAAAAAAGTAAAAGTTTAAACAATATTACTAAAATAATATAATTTAAAATAAATACCAATGTATCGGATAGAGTGATCTCATTAATTGACCGTTATCATCTTCAAAAACATTTCTACATTAAAAACGAATACATACAATATTAAATTCGGTACATACATTTCGGGGGGCGCACTTGGATTTTCGCGGAACACGCTTCGTGTCGGGGGACACGCTTTTCTGGGTCCAGAGCTGATTGTTATGTCCGTTACGATCGCGAATCACGAATTGAGATCGAATTAGAATCCAGAACGGATTATGTTTCATCAACGTTACACCGTCCGTGATTATTGGGCGTCTAGTATATATATATATATATATATTGTTGACAAAGCAACACTATCAACTGAACTCATAATCGTTTTTTAGTTAACAATGGTTAATCGTTATGTATACAGATATACATTAAATTCCCCCTCTACTACCTTCCTAATTTCTCACCTCCAACAGTGGCCCACCCATATGTGAAGTATGTTCGTCTATTGTTTTAAAATTTATTTCGTTGGCACACACATATATACATACATACACATAGTTCGGTTAATGTTTATTTAATTATTATTTTGTCAGCAGCGTTAAATATTTATGCGATGTATGTTATTATTTCATTAATATTTAGGTCCATAGCTTTTATATAACATATGTGGTCAATTCGTACAGTATATAATTTATTATTTTTGTGACTTGAAATTCGAAAACAATCGTTTACACATAATGTTGCATTATGATGCTATTTACATATTATGTGTATAATATAAAATACTCCGGCGAGCAGTAAACGCTCTCGGGGACGTAGTAAAGTCGTCGTAAATGAGATTAATCTTCTCTCGTACCCCACGAATTTTAGTATTTTCTTAATGACTTTTACGTCGCACCGACCAACCAACACTCAACACGCGGTTGACGATACACAACTTTAAAGCCGATAATGGTGTTGATGTAAATGTATTGTGAGAAAGATAAACATAACAACGACGTTTGTTGAGCAGCAGATTAATGGTATTTACTCGTAATAATATTTTTGATATAGAATGGGAAACGACGAATGTATCATTTGCTTTTACTTTGATGTATGTAATTTTTTACTCCGTCTGTTGTGTTCCGATTTTGACCAGTAGTTCTACTTCAGCCAAAACATTTCTAAGAACTTTTTCGTAGAATTTTGTATTTAATTGGTGGATTGAGGAGGTTATTGGTTGTATAGGTACATCTTGTCTATTTCTTAATGGATATTTGCACCAAATGGTTTTTATGTTAGTATTTTTTCAACGTGATATTATTCCCGATATACTATTTTTATATAGCTATTTAAAACATACTTTGATGTTAGCAAGATATTTTTCTATTTATTTTAATACGAAATGTATTTGGTCCCGTATTAATGCTTGACAAATTTGATACAAGGCTTATAATGAGTTGCTTTTGCGGATCACAATTTTTTGTCATTTTAGACGGTTGTTAACAGAAAACATCGCTAACGAAAACAATATTATATCTTATATTATCATTATTGACAAAGAGAGAACAAGAGAGAGAGAGAGAGAGAGAGAGAGAGAGAGTGAGCAGTAGAGTCGGAGCTACATACTCATTATTATATAGTATATACCATACAAAGAGGATTGCAGCCAAATTATGTAACGCAATTTTGCACCTATACTGATTGGGGTTGATTATCTATGTTATTCGTAGAAATTGCATCAGTAGCTAGCAGCTAATAATAATTATGTTCAAATCGTTAATTAACATTCCTGAACAGCACCTATTATTATATAAATAATACAACCGACAAGATAGAAATTGGTCGTGGCGTGTAATTATTAGTTCAGTAATTTTATACAGATATTTTCGGAGAAAAATTTCTAATGCCCCAAGAAATATGAAAAAAAAAACGTTAAAAAATCGGGGTTTCAACTGATGCAAGTAATGGTTAATTTCAATATCAACTGATGTTTTTGGTTTAAGACACCAGATTGAATATCGATTTTATATTGGTAAAAATGATCAGAATATCGGATATCAGAAATAGGTGTGTCAGTGTATACCTACTACAATTGTACATACGTGTATTATGGGATAATCAGATTTTAGATAAAATATTTAAACTATTACACGATAGTTGAAATCATAATTAAGTATATTATAATATTTAGTCAAAATGGTTCATATTATAAAGTTTTGTAATATTCTAATTTTTACATTTCAATAATTATTTTTGGTTTTTATTATTTTTCTCATTTAAAAACGGGATACGAATTGTTTTGCTGTGTGAATTTTTTAGTTTTTCAAATAATACGACAAAATATAGGTATATTAAATACGGGTAGACTGCACGCAGTGTACAAAATAATTTGAATAAAATAAAAAAGTATTGTGTTTGTTTTCCACATTGCAATAATTTTAAGTAGTACATCAAATGTTTAAGTAAAATAGAAAACAACACCATTTTAAATGATTTAAGAAACAGCAAACCCACATTGAGTAAAAATACAAAATTTCGAAAGGAATTTCATATTATAATGTGTTTTTCGAAATATTAATCAGAGAAATAGGCATAGTCGGTACAGCGATTTTAAAGGTTTGGAGATTGTTTGTTCTTTATATTGTTCTATATTTTTTATTACACACATATTTTTCACTTTGTTACTGATAAGATAAAAAACATTAAAAAAAAAAAAATTGTATACTAGGTAAAGTAATTTCGGAAGTTTATTTTTTTTATCTTTCATATGAAATTGCCGTCTCCGCACTAGGAATAGTTCTTATTTTCCCTAACAGGAATAGAATACCACCAAGAGACTTCAGAGAGACAATGGGTGATGAACCGCTATTTGTGTGCGACAAATAAACATTGTTTTTGTTTCGTCACTGTTGTCGTTGTTGTTTTTGTTTGCGGGAGGTAGAAAATACTTAGTTGTTTATGCGTTTGTGTGTGCATATAAGAAAGAGGGCTCTGGATCAAGAGAACTTCAGTTAAGTAATTTGCCCAATGGGGGTAGCCTTTTGACGAGCTGCCGCGCAGAGGGGGGTCGTGCGATATGTATACAGGAGGTATACACGAGTGTATAATATTATATAGTTCCTGTGTGCTCGTTCTTCTTCTTTTGTGCAATTTCGGACTTAAACCTAGTGGAAAATTCATGAATATTTTCACACTATAAAAGAAGAAAACGGATAAGACGAAATGGAAACGATAAATTATATAATGTGGCGAAAAATCGTTTCATTTTCGATGTTTATTCTTGACGTGCTATTACCCATGCCCGTAGGAACGTGAGAAATACGTGATGCTCTCTCCATTACCATCATCGGATATCGCCTTATTGTTATATTATAAGACCCCGTAAATACTATAACATACAGGGCGATTCCTTTATCACAAATCATTAGCGCTTATCTACGAAAATTTCGCGTAACGGGTAAATTTGATTTTGGTTTTTTTTTTTGGAATCATTTATATGCCTTATTTTAACACTAATAAATTTTCTAATAAGTAGAACTACCTACCCCTATTTCTATTATATTTTAAACTAATATACACTTTTCATTTTTAAATCATGTACATACGAAAACTTAACTAGCGTACGTATGAATCCTATATTATGTATTTCTGGCGTACCTATTGATTTGCCACGTACGATTTTTCTTAGACCTTTAAATGATAGTAAAATAATATAAACTGCAATATTGTTTAATCATAATAATTGTTTAGTACATGCACTGCAGTACACAATAATTATTTAACTAATGCGTAATACTATATATTTTATGTATAGAAAATAAATGGAATTCGTTAAATTTGTAGCGAGAATAAAATATAGGTAATTGAGTAAGTACACGAAATTCCGTTTAACTTTGAGTTGAGAGGAGGGGAAAATTTAACATTTTAATTAAATTTATCAAATTCCATCATTGTTCATACAGGTTTAATATCTATCAGGGTAACCGACCCTACATTCCTATGGGGACTAATCATGCGCGGATAAAACTGTCGTAGTTATTCGCATTAAGCACTACCAGAATAGCAGAGTAACAATAATGTGCGCGTTCGGTTTTCTTAGTAGGTTATATCAATGCACATGAGTCGTTATAGAAAGCCTCTTCAACACTCATTTTAGCCTTAAGGGTTAAATTTGAATACTGTTTTACAGCAGATGCTATAAGGGCTATGACGAAAATATTTTTCGTAAATCACTTTGATTTTTAAGGTTTGAATTTTTTAGACGTGTTATAATTTCCAAATTTATTTTGATTTTGTTTTAATTATCTGTTTGCAGAGTTTGATTTTCTTTTAGTTATTTTTTGCGATTAATATATAGATACATTCTATTATTATGCTCGATATGAGTGTTTCTAAATTTAATAATAAATCTTAAGTTTCTTTTACTGATTGACAAGAAAAAAGTTGAGCATAATATGACAATTTTTTTTATAAGTGTTGAAATGTGTATAAAATTCTTGATCTATTATAATGGATAGATAGTTCAAAATTTATTAAAATTTTTAATTTAAATTTAGTGAAAAAAAACTCTAATCGACTTCCGGTTAAAATTGAATTTTTTTCTTTTGCAATGAGATCTTTGCAGTAAGGATTTAAACTAAATTATTTTACCTATAACGGTTATAGGTTTTAGTTTAATCTAATTATTGTATATTTTGTAGAAACTATAATTCACCACAAACATTATCTATGTGTAAATATTATTGTCCACAAAAATATCAAATAAACGCGAACATCTTTTAGAAATTATATTATTATTTTTGTTTCTACTCTAAGAAGACGTCATATTCGCATATGCTGACAGACGTGATCTATGTAGAACTCGCTTGATTTTGGTTTTTGAGTAAATATATCATGCAATTGCACAATTAAAAGAGGACATTATTCCGGAGGGTGAGACTACGTGGATTTTCCATTATTTCTTTTTTAAATATAACGTTTTATAAACTGTTTAGAAATACAGAGGTGGCCAAAAGTCGAGCAACGCCTACCGTCTTGTATGGAACGCGCGTTACGGCGCAGTTTCTCATTCCACGTCGTTTCCGTTACGTCATATTGCAACTTTGGTCTCGTTATCTTGTTTACGCACAACAACAGCAAAGTTTATAAAAAAAAACAACATATTTAACATAAAACACAACAGTTTTATAAAAACTGTGTTGCAAATTTGTTGCGTGACTTTTGACCACCTCTGTAGTGCCCATTTCATTATTTTTAAACGACTGTCACTTTTCCAATAAATAATCGAAAAAAACCGTCTTTTGGATTTTGTAATAGCACCTATTATGCGTTTCCTCTAAAATTACAAGTTAAAATTATTAAATCAGCGCAAAGTTGTCCTTAGCCGAAAATTTTCTGTACCTACCGTATACGAGGGTTGTCCCAAAAGTAATGCACAATTTGCTCTGAATAAATAAGTTTTTATTTTAAACTAAATACAATATTATAGACATTCGATATAATCTCCCTGCTTGTCTATACACGATTGCCATCGTTTCGGGAGCGCTTGAATGCCGCATAGGACGCCATCTTTGTTGAGTTCACGGATCCTTCGGCTCACTTCTTCATTTAGTATATCTAAGTTGGGAAAACGGATCCCTCTAAGTGGTTCCTTCAGTTTTGGAAATAAATCAAAGTCCGGGGGACTTAANCTCCGATATGCGGCCGCGCATTATCGTGCAATATGGACACACCATTTTGTAACATTTCTGGTCGCTTTTTACGGATTTCTGGTCGCTATTTCACTTGACTTTGAAATACCTGTTTCATTCTCTATCTCTCTTATCGTTATTCGTCGGTCTTCATCGAGTAGAGTTGCGAGAATAGCCGCGTTAGTGTTGTCTTGAGTAACCGTAGAGGGTCGGCCAGAGCGAGGGTTGTTATCAATACTTATACGACCATCACGGAATCGCTGATGCCGTCTTTGCACCGTACTACGATCCACAGTATCCGTTCCACACACTTCATTTAACGCGGCATGAATTTCAGGCACTGTTTTACCACGAATCGTTTCGATTTTAATGTATGCGCGTTGTTCAAAAACAGAAATGTGAGCCGACGAATTGTTCTCACTTTCGTTATCGCTCTCACACATCATCATACTTTACTAAAACAACTAAAACTGAAAACGCACGTGTTTGTTAGACTTCAAGCTACAAACTGATACTAAAATCAGCTGATAATATCACATTGCAAGACAGCTAGAGCGCGCTGTGCATTACTTTTGGGACAATCCTCGTATGTTTGTAAGACGAATACAATAAGAGACGCCAGTGTTGTCTCCTGGTTTAACATTTTAAAATTCTGTTGATGGGGTTCAAGATTTTTCTTTTTTTTTGTGTTCGATATAGTTATGAATTGAAATAATATTTATAATGTTCGAAGGCATTCGTGTAGTAGGTGATTACCTACTAAATTAGGTGTATAGTAGGCGTTCTACCATATTATACTAGGTGTAGTTGCAGGTGATCTACAATTATTTTATTGTGTTCATCGAAATATACCTATTATAATTTATAGTTTCATAATTACGGTTTGATATTTACCAGTAACTATTATCTAACAGTTATTGTTACGTCTATTCGAAGACCAACATCTTAAACAGTGTAAGTGCATATATTTTATCGTAGGTACCTATACATACGCAATGCAAAATATTTAATGATAATAAAAATTATAATAACGCTGTTTAAATTGTTTTAATACATTTAAGTTATAAGGTTTAAAGTTTATACAATATAATTATGTATATATATAAAAAAATAATCCACGTGGATAGTATTATTATAAATTATCATTTTCTATACCGTTTTTGTGCTATTAATATAGGTAATCGTGAATGTAAATAAGTGTGAAAAAAAAATAAAAATGCAGCATTAACTTATTATTATGATATATGGTTTTTTTTTGTTTTAATAATAAACGGATATTAAAAAAAAAAAAATAAAACGCTTATAAATCTTATAAAACCTATACTTTAATATAGGTATTATACGTTTCCGCGTCTGGAATATATATTATTTCATATAGGTATTAAGCAGATATAGTAAATTTCATTATGCAACTTTTATTTTTATAATAATTATTATATTACTACCCCGGCTACTAGGTTTCAATATAATTAATCGTTTCAACGGATGTCAAAAAATTAATCCCATTTGAAATTAACGAATATTTATCATTATTTAGAACAACAATAGCGTAGGGTTACGCGCGAAATAAAATTAAATATTGCGTACTTTTTTATTTTGTCTGTTTACTAAATATTATTGCGGAAGTAAAATCTCTTCTGTGCCGCAAGTGGTTTGTAAACGATATAAATTCGAAAGTATAGAGTGTGTTTATGTTGCGTATTAAAACGGATTAAGTATACGGACATATATTTACCTCGTTTCTCTGCAGTAATTTTAAAAACATACGGGAGTTTTATTTCAATATTCGTTAGGTTTCTTAGTACGGAAGAACGAAAATAATAATTTTATTTCGACCGTCCGTCGTTTGTTGTTTGCATCGCGTGATGCTGATTATTGATTATAATACTAAAATATTGGTTTTTTTTCTACAAAAAAGTATCGAGTAATCGTGTCTTAATAAAAAATAAAATAACTGTCGTTTATAAACGACCTGAATAAATTATGAAATATAATCTTCAAAATATGTATTAGTACACCAAAAATGACTAAATATGCTATAAAATATTATACTCGGACAAATGTACTTTTCAGGCACTGTATTAGAAAATTGTAAGTTATTGCATAAGTATCATAAAAATATATTATTTACGTTTCAAAATAACAAAATATGCGTTATAAAGACAAGATTGAAAAAATTCAATTTTGTCCAGAGCGTTGAAAAAGTTCAACGCTTTAGGATCACAAAAGAAATGTCAATGAGAAGAATGTCATTTGCTGATCATGCCCGAAGAAAACCAGGATCAATGATAGGGACGGTAATATATAAAAAAAACACAAAAGGAAAGCGAATACTGGAAAGACCTATATTTAAGTAGGCATATTTGTGGTATAGTGGAAGATTGCTACTCGCAGACAATTTTAAAATCATATTGATAACTCTGATCTAATAGGTCTAACAGGTCAACAATAATCAAAATAAAATTTTACCGTTTGATGCTTTATTTAAACGATTGATTCTGCATCAATTGCTTCATACGATCAATATAAATATCTTTTACAGAGATTAGTATGCACAATACATAGTATATCATTCTTATCGCGGAAAGTATTAATAATTTAGCAATTTTTCGTTTTATGAGTATTTTCTGTGCATAGTACTTACTCGACTCGATTTTTATTAATTATACTCGTATTCGTTACGTAATCTTACCGTATTTACGTGTACCGGTTTAAAGCAAACGGATAATAATTATTATTTAAGAATTGGTATTCCGATATTGTACCGTCAGACACGATAGTACGACGATTCAAGTTTAACTCCGTTGAGTAATCTCTTCGTCAAGTCCCCCCCCCACCTCCCCTCTCCTTTTTACTATTGGAAATATATTTGTATTTTGGTAACTATTGTAGGTACTATAATATATAGTATACAACACTATAAAATTACTACCGTATAATGATTCGAGACACCGATACACCGTTAAACCAATGACGCGCGGAATTCGGCTAAACGATTGGACCGTATTTTATTTAACCGCGTATAATATATATATATATAATGTAGTACCTATGTATGTATAGTTGTCTACGATATTGATGATATATGGGACCGTTACCGAAACCGCCGGAAAAATAAATAACATCGTATAATCGAAGATTATTTGTTGGAAAGTGAAAGTTGCTATTCGATCGGTCGCTTTTGTTATACGGCCATATAGCATAACGCTATATCATTACAAGCACTTATATGTTGTTGTGCTCTTGGTTTTTATTGCAAATATTGTATTTTACATCCCGAGCGAAACGCGAAGTGCGTTAGTTTTACAATAATATTATTGTATAAATATGCCGCCACGCAAAAAGTGGCCGAGTGCGATTATACGTAAATGGCCGAAAAATAATCCCTAGTCTATTTTCTGCGAGTATGGGAAAACCGGCAAACTGAGCATACGAAATACATACCGTATGAAACCCATTATGAATCATTTAATTGTATTAAGCAAGTGTTTCAGCTTATTGTATTGTTAGTTTTTTAATTTTAGTGTAAACTCCTTAGTTCTTAGATTGTTTTAGTTTTACACATTTTCCCAAGTTATGATTGAACATGCAATTGAATGTCTAGTTCAAAGTTACAATTATTTAATTTTCGTAGATTTTTTGAAATAAAAATTTTGGAAATCAAACAAGTTTCTGATTTTTAAGACATTTGTAAATATTGAATTGTAGTTCACCAACAACGTTAAATATTTACTTTTTGCATGACATCGTTGGTACATACATTTTTTAGATTCTTCGCTACTTTCTGGATTTATTGGTTTTATTATGATGTGTGTTTTTTTTTCTGTCTGTAAACGAATTTTCTATCAAACATTTTGCTTCGATGTATCAAGTGTAGCAACTTTTCTGAAAGGAAATTTTATTTAGTTGGTATATTGAGGAGATTACTTTTTTCATTTTGAAGAGGTTTTTACAACAGTTTGGAAAAAATAGGAAAAAGACGATTAAAGAAAACTGAAAAATTCGCGGCGTTAGGACTCTTTCTTTGTTTAAATTTTTACGCTTTATGTTTCCTACCAGAAATATTGGTCTAATAGAAAAACTACATAAAACTTTTTATGTTTCATTTTTAATCTTGTTGATGATCAAGGAAGTCGATTTTTATTTCTTTGTAGTTTTTTTAATAATTGAGGAAAACCGAAAAAAAAAACGTAAAAAAAGAGGGGAAATTTAGGAAAATAATTTTTTTATTATTTTAAATTTTATTTTTTTTGTTATCCACTTGAAAATATTCATGAAGTTTAGAATTTTTGACAGAAAACTTATATTGGTTATTTCTGGAAGTGGTAAAATTTTAAAATATTTAATTAATATTATTAAACAAATTTTTGAGCTATTTATGGATATTTTATTTTGCAAGTTTTTTCGTAATTTTTATTTGATAGGTTAATTAATAATATCTATTTTATTATACCTATTTCACCAGTTTATACCAATTTTATTCTGTGAATAAAATTGTTAGACTAAATAGAAATGCTTGAAAATTTAACAGGAATTTGATTATAAATCGAGTTAAAATGACATAAATATATATTGTTGATAAAGCATCACTATCCACTGAATTCCGCTCAGAATCGTTTTTCGTAAGCAATGGTTTATCTTTGCTTACAGATATACATTAAATTCCCGTATATATCTTTCCTTTCCAACTTTCTACCTATATCAGTGGCGGAATTGCCCCATTATCTTAATTTTAAATTTAAATTTTTTATAGTTATTTTAAAATGCCAATCAGAGTAACGAAAATCTATAGATTTTTTTCGTAGAACCACTCAAACTGAAACGCTTATTTGAATATTTATTCTCATTTTATATTCTCAGGTTTTACATGTATCCATTATCTGAAGATACAAAAAAAAAAAAAAAAAAAATTAATCATTTTATAACATAACCGTGCCGTTCTAATTTATTTATTTATTTTTTTAAGAGAATATAAATTTGGATCTATGTGAAATATCTGAAGATCAAAGGATTCAATTTGAATGTTTCTTTTAGACTATTATTCAAAAAAAAAAAAAAAAAGTTAATGCGTTTCGTATATATAAAACGTTTTATTGCTATTTAACATGATTTTTGATATGTTAATAATAATTATAATAAAAAAGCGATTTGGTTATTAAATTAACAATAATTATAAATTTAATTTGTTAAAACGCAAATTTTAAACTAAAAACGTAATTTAATAATTATGAGATGTCGAACGGTTAAAGTTTTGAGACCAATATAATTATTGTATACTATACAGAATATTTAAAATTGTATGTTCCATTTAACGCAGCCAAACAAATGACGGTCTACTGAAATATAACCTTTTAGCTACCCAACAAATGATAAATTTAAAACGTGGAATATCTAATTAACATTTATTCAAACTAAAACTTCATCTATTTATTTTTAATGATTGATT